TGCATGCGTGCCCAAGATCCTGAGAGGAGAATGGAGAAGGGATTGCGGTGTGGCCATCCCCCCTGGGGGGGTGATTTCTCACTTTCTATCTCTCTGTCTCTCTCTCTCTGTCTAGTGAGCACACATGCCCTATAGCAAAAATCTCTAAAAAAAAATTGCTTTCACGGCTGTGCAAATGTTTAACGTGCAAAACCCCTTTCTCTCAAATCACTAAAAATCAGGTAAGGTACCCATAAAACCTTCATCAGAATTTCATCTTCATATATCTCTTCCATTTCCAACAACACACATAACATATGCTAGACAAATTTAGAACTACCTTTTTAAAAAAAGGTTGGATCCAATTCCTGAGAGGTCCACTCAAACTTTATTTTACCCTCCTTAGACTGTAAAGCAATTTTTCTTAGAAATACTCTCAATATGCCAGGAAAAAGACATTTCTAAGATTAAAAACTCACATTAAACTTTCCCTTTATTGAGAAATACAGATAATTCCATAACCTTTCATTGTAACACTTTTCCTCAAAAATTAAAAAAAAAATGTTCTATGCCTTCTCTATTCCTCCTTGTATAACAATAACATGATGTCTGCTGTATGACGCACACAACAAACTACAGGAGTCCTCTCTCACGCTCAGTTTCTATCCACTGATAACTTAAAATAGCTACAAATGGCTAAGACTATAGTGCCTAGAATTTTTCTTTGATTATGCAACTATTTTGGTAATATGCTGTAAGTTTAAAGATCAAAAGAATGCTCCGAACTGAATCTGAGCAAACTGTCTTAGAATGAGAATGTATGACTTGAGGATATCAAGTCATACAATGATTATGTTTAGATAAGATTAAAGAGAAGACAAAGTTCACTCTAAAACTGACTTACATCTACCATGTAAACATGCGCACATTGTATACCAGTATGACTTTGAAGACAAAGCACAATCAAAGAACTTGGCTACCAAGAGGTAGAAGTGGTTCAGTCAAGAGCAAAGGTCATGGCAACAGTTTTTTAGTTTTCTCAAGTCATTTTGCTGGTTGACTTTCTGGAGGATCAAAGAATTATAACATCTTTTTATTTTGAGAAAGTTAGTAAATGCTTCCACAGAATACTCTGCAATACTTCAGCAGAGAGTATTGACGTAGGGAAAATCACTCCCATCATGTTTCTTCTTAGATTATCACAGAATTTTGGATCACCACCCTTTGCCAAGTCTTCTCAAATAATACCTTTAGGTCTCTTGCCAAGGGGCACCTGAAAAGTGATGAGAGCCTTCATCCTCTGTCACTTTCATGTGAAAGGAGCTGGATGGGAAAAAAGGTTTGTTTGAGCTAATTCCTTGGGCTCTTGTCCGTCAGCCCAAACCTGTCACTGCTGTCAGTCTTCAGTGTCTTAAGGAATGTTTGAGTCATGCTACAAACCAGCCACTCAGCCCTCTGGTAACATCACTGTTACAAGAAGGCGGCCATTTCTGAGCACTCCCACAGGGCTGTGAAATGAAGGGAGCTCAACTATTCAGAGCAATAATAAAACACAGCTCCTGCCTATTTAGAGCTCCAGGCCGAACGGCAAAGCCATGTCTGCTACAGAGCCTCTTCTTTTTGTTCCCAGAATGGTCCTTAGCAGATATAAAGAAATGAGACCTTTTCTTGACTAGAAAATCCTTTCCTTTCTCAGATGTGAAGAAAAACATACACACCAGACAAACATGGAAGGAGAGTGGGGAATGAAGGGAGGGACTTGTCTTAAGGAGCTCACATAGAGACTGCCTCCATCAGAAATACCTATCCTAATAGCCTTTATAGTTTTATTTCCCCCATCGGATACAATATCAAAACTAAATACATATACCAGTTGATAAGAGAATAAAAGAGGAATCCAGGGGGCAGGCACAATTTCTTACAGCTTAAAAAACTGTAAAGAATCAAGCACACAGCATTCACAAGTATAAAAACCAAACCGTACTTAGTACTACACACAAATACATACACAAAGGAAATACAGTAAAAGGGCTTTCTTTGGGCTCTACACATACACACACACACACACACACACACACACACACACACACACACATCTTTCATTGTACATTTTCATACGCAGAAATGAGAGCTTCATAGTGAACTAAAATGTTTTTTAATGCTGAACATGCAATATTCATAGGTATCGAATGCTTAGACTCATATTTTCTTAAATTTAAAATTTTCCCATTACTGCCACTGAGATCTAGTTTTCCTGCCACAGTAGTGCATGCCTACATTTAAAAAACATATGCAGGGAACCAGCAGTTGGCGTAATGGCTATGTCGCTGGACTCCCACGTAGTCGACCGCGGTTCGTGTCCCGGACCCGGTGGCTTAAAACTCACGCCAGGCGCGTGTGCGTGCGTGCCCGCCCAAGATCCCGAGAGGAGAATGGAGGAGAAGGGATTGCGGCGTGACCATCCCCCCTGGGGGGTGATTTCTCGCTTTCTGTCTCTTTGTCTCTCTCTGTCTGTCTGGCGAGCGCACGCGCCCTACAGTGAAAATCTCTCCAAAAAAAAAAAAAACAAAAAACATATGCAGAAGCCACCACCTGATTTAGTAGTCAGGCTGCATACACTGGCGTCTTGTTTTCAGGCACCTTTGAAGACAGAGTGATATTTAATACTGAATATAAGCAGTCTTTTCATCTTACACTGTAGAGTAATTGCTTCCCACTTCGGAACTATAGCATGAGTTATCATCTCTGACTTGCTCTTTAAGTGCTATGGCCAACATGGAAAAAAAATGACAAAGAACATTATGGGCTTACTCAAGGGAGTTGGATCTTTGCTAACTGCCAAGAAGAAATCACGGCTAGTCAGGCATAGTGCAATGAGATACAGCAAGAGATGACAAATGTTATTGGGTCCTGGTCCTAGGAAATCATTTCTACTAAATGTCCTTGGAGTATAAACGCCGAATTCTTCTCAGTGTCAAACACAACATATAAAAATCAAAGCTGCACATGAAAAGTGTTTATAATTGTACATATATGTTGGAGTAACACTATACATATGCATTTACTGGAAATGACCGTTACAATACTGTGAAGGTGGGAGTGTTTTCCCTTATGTTCTAGGAGCTGAATTGATGTCTTAAGAGTTATTCACTATCAGAAAAGTTGGGCTCATAAAGCCTATCTACCTAGGTAGAGAATATCAATGAAAATTCTATCAGACCTGACTCACAGAGTTAACTGTCTTTTGTATTTAACAGGAACAAAATATGAAGAAAATATAAAGAGAATAAGTAAATATAAAGGAAGGGTGGGCAGAGCCCAATGAACAAGTTATATTAGATATTTTTCATCCTACATCATATCAATAGAAGCACCAAATGAATATGAGGAAGTAAATAACAGTGCACATGAGCTTAAATCCAATTAGAATGTTGTTTTATATAAATAAAATGCATAATGAAAAGACTTACATGCCACTTCAACATTACAGATTTTGTTCTTGTTGATTTATGAACCTTTATTGCCAGTTATACCTTAATAGAGCTGAAGAAAAAATTTTTTAGATAAATAAATAAATCCTTACCTTTGACTGCCTCTTATTGGCTTTTCTCCTGGCCTCCCTTTCTTTCAATCTTTTCTCCTACAGGAAGAAGGGAGAAATTAACAACATAAATATCTATCTATCAGGTGTAAAACAGACCACACATTCATTACAATTCGTTTTGTAAAGCAATCTGACACATGATGTTCATTTCTCGATAAAGATCTACCAAGTGTCCACTATGGGATTGGCATAAATATTCATAATTATTAAGAATGTGTCAGACAGATCAGGCCATGCTGCTGCTTATAACATTGACAAGGACAAGAATTGCTATTATATATCTTTACAATAAAAGTGTGAACACAAATGTTAAAAGCCTCAAAGAAGGTTAAACTAATTAATGCAATGAGAGAGTCCATCCATAAACCTTAGTTTCAGTTTCTACAGCTTCAGATTGCACAGTAGGAAAGCTAAATTCTAAGTAAAAACTAACATAAAATCAAACTTACACAATTTCGATGTGTGTCATGCCCCTAAGTAATACATATATTAAATTACTCCATTTCTTTTTCCTTCCCAGATTTGGAGAAAATAGATAATACTCTGCGTTCCAAATAAAACACACAATTAAGAGAGCAGGTAAAACTTAAACTGAACAGGAACATTCTAAAGATTCCTAGGAAGAAAGGTTAGAGAAAGGAAAAAGAAACATGAAAAAAGAAAAATTCTTAAAACATTCTGACTTGCTTGTTGTCAAAGGGCCAAGTTACAAAGCAACTGTTCTCAACTCTGGTCTAAATGTACCAAGTCTAGTCCTTTTTCCAACACATTCTAATAAAAATTAAAATGTTAAGACTTGGGGTTAAACATTAGCAGATGTGACTTTAATCAGAGAAGAAAATAATAACAGTATTTTAGTTAGCAGCCAATTACTGCGAATAGATACTATCAAACTCTTTCTTATCCCTGAACTGGTTCTCTAATGAAATTTTTAGAGATGGTCTGTCATGAAAATAAGATAATCTCAATATATCCTCAAATTGTGGAGAAAAAATAACAGATTGCAGTTTTTAAACAATCTACACCCAAATTTTTACGAAACTCAGCCAATTTATTGATCTTCTGTAAGTATTACTAGACTATGAAAATATATAAAAGAAGCAAAACTATTAAAGAAGAAGCTCAAAGTCGCTGATCATGATTATCCATTGTTTGAGAGCTGATATTAGTGGATAAATTTTGTTATTTTCTCTCTCTTCTCTTCCCCCACCCGCAAAATTTAAGCCTATTATTCACAAAAAAATTGTTTTTGATACTAAAATGAAATATAGCAGTATTTCATATTATTCTACAGAAATCACAATGACTTTGGAATATTTTATTACTTAAACTAATTGTAAAACTACAACTATATAAAACTTCAGATAACTACAGAAAACAGTGAAATTATACTATCATAAAAACTTGTCCATTGGTACATATTATTGCTTTTATTTTTTTACCAAGAGTAAAAGCTCAGAAGTGTTAAGTAACCAGTTTGCTTCACATTTCATGTACTTATTTGCTTTGTTCACTTTCCTTTTCTTTGGACAAGTTTTTGCTATGTTGGCAGCTTCCCACCTGAGCCTCCCAGACTACTGGGATTACTGGCCACTGTAGCTGGCCTTCAGGTTGAATTGGGAATCCAACAAAGACCTCCCATGTAGTTCCAGCCTATGGACACAGCATTCTACTAGCATGTGCCACTATAGCTAGGTCTCAGTTTGTTTTTTCATCTTTTTTTTCTTTTTTTTTTTTTTGCTACAGTGTATCTATCTGATCAGAGACAGAAAAAAGAGAAAGATAGTGAGAAATCACTCCCCAGGGGGATGGCCATACCACAATCCCTTCCCCTCCAATCTCTTCTCAAGATTTTGGGTACACACAAACATGTGCCTGGCATGATTTTCAAGCCTCTGGGTCCAGGACCCAAACCACAAAGTCAATCATATGGGACCCAATGCCTTAATCTCCATGTCATCTCCTGGTCCAGTTTTTCATCTTTTTAAATCTATATAACAGAACTTGTGGGGTATTATTCCCATTATATAGACAAAAAAATAATAATCAAAGTAACTAAGGACCTTGGCTGATACCACATAAATAGTGATAGAACTGGGGCTAAACTGGGCTTGGCAGGCTACTGTCCTCCTCTCAATCCCGGCACATCAATGTACTGCATACCCCTCACCAAGAATGTTCACTGAGCTTACACATTCATACATAGTATTTTTATCTCATTGGTATGTTTAAGACAGATGCCATTTTTAAAAATTATTATTAATAGCCTGCTACCATCTGGGACTTTTCGTCCTCACAGCACTTATTCTGACAGCATTTTATGGACATTACTTAATTAATTTTTTGCCAGTTTCCTGTGCAGAAGAAACAGATAATTGACTACTTTTAACAGTGACACAAATTTTTGTTGTAATTATTCAATAACTGGCCTTCTTCTAACACATTAGTGTGTCTGAAAATGGCACTTCAAAGTTGCAGAGAATAAGCTCTCTATGTTCACCATCAGACAAACCCTTTCTACACAAGCAAACATTTCTATGCTGGAGGTTTCATCTATCCTTTTTAATCACAGCAGAAAAAAATTCATAGAGAAGTTTCAACTTCTACTGAATTCAGTATTAATCCAGTACAGTCTCTAAAGGATATTTTAAATTTCACTTTTAAATTGGCTTAACACATATGCATGCAAATGGGATAAATCTTTTTCTTTTGAGTTTTCTGCCACAAATCTAAGGTAGTTGAGGGAGATCCAAAAATTTTGGATTATGAAGTAAACATGGTCAAGAAACAAAACAGAAATGTATAAAAGGATTGGCTTTATTGTGCAGCAGTAATTTGCTGCTCAAGAAAAGCTAGATTCTACATGATGACCATGGTGCGAATCCCCAGTCTGGTCAGCCTGAAATACACTGGGAATGTGCACAAGTGTCCCAGATCTGACAGGCTGAAAGACTGGAGGAAAAGGGTCCCAATGTGACCAGACCCAATAGAGGGTGCTCCTCTCTCACTTCTCTCGCTTTCCCTCACTCACTCCACATGTACACACACATACACACACACACATACACACACACACACACACATGCTTTAACACAAATAGAGAAGAATTTTTTTAAATAGAAATTATTTTTTTAAAGAAATGCATTAAAAACTTTCAAAATGGGGTAAAAACAAAGGAAAATTACTTAAAATGAATCATCAGAAAATGTTCCTTTCTTATTTGAAAAAGCTGTCAGTACTCTGCCTGAAAGATCAAGAGTAAATATTAGTCTTTAAAAAGAGAAAAACAGGAAGGAGAATTACAGTAATCCAAAATATGGAAAATCAACATACAGAGGAAAATATGTTTTTTAATGCTGAGATATTAAAAAAATAATAATTCCTTACTTTTATAGCAAAAGATTTATGACAAGGCAAAGATAAAAAGGTTGGCATACAATGACTTAAGGGGAAAACTATAATTGGATTTTTATTAAATTTAGTTACATGAGGTTGCCCCATCCCCCTCAATTATTTGTGGTTCTCATGCTTGAAATATTTTACTTTCCTATTTCATTTTTGAGGGTATATTGGTACCAAAGTCTACTTTATATCACACACACACACACACACACACACAAGGCAGAAACACCTCTTTAGTTCTGCCATGCTGCAAATGATTAACTTTAAGGAGAGCATGAAATTCAATAATGAAAATCAAATTCACAAGGGACAAGAAAACAGAAAATCACATTTCAAGGTACAAAATACTCCGTTTATAGATGTTATACTTCTTTTGGCTTCTCACACACTATAGGTCCTTAGCTTCCAAGAAAGAAAGAACCATGAAATATGAATTTCATCAGCAGTCAGGACTACGTATTTAAAGCTTTTTCATTCTATGGTGATACTTGGAAATTTGTAGACCTGAAAATACGACTGTTTTTAGGAGGTGACAGAATGAATACATCTCAGGCAACTATGTCAGTTTGGTTAGGAACCGAGTCCCCAGCTATTACACAGGAAAGATAGGAATGAGCATCTTTACTTCAGTATTTCAAGAACCTCTTTTTTGGGGTTGGCAGGTGGCATGACAGCTAAGGTTGCTGGACACCCACATGGCTGACCGTGGTTCAAGACCTGGACCTGGCAGCTTGCTTTCTCACTTTCCACCTCCACCTCCCTCCCTCTCTCCCTCTTTCTCCCTTTCTCCCTCCCTCCCTCTCTCCCCCTCCCCTCTCTTCTCTGGTAAGAGTGTGTGTGTGTGTATGCGTGTGCGCGTGCACAAATGAAGTAAAATAAAATAATTCTGAAAAAAAAAAAAAAGAGAACTTTTTTCAAGGAAGAAACTGACTCAATGAAAATAAGTAAGAGAGTGATTATGAGAATTTAAATCCTTAAAGATATCCCCGACCTTCAAGAATAAAATTCCAGTATACCTACATCCTTCTTAGGAACTCTTTCTCTCTTTCTGATGATTGCAAAGGCTCTCCGAAATAGAGGTCAGCAGATGCCATAGTGGGTACATCGCTGGATTCCTACATGGCTGGCTGCGCTTTGAGTTCCAGACCCCAATGGCTTCAAACTCACACAACATGCACACCCAGGATTCCGGGAGGAGAATGGAGAAGAGAATGAGGCATGGCCATCCTTACTAGGGAGGGATTTCTTTCTCTCCCCGCCCCACCACCTGGTGAATGTACATGCCCTAAGGCAAAACAAAAAGTTTTATAAAAGGAAAATAAATGAAATAAATAAAAAGTAGTCTTCTGTATAAATCTGTAACAACTATAGAAAAGATAAAGACAGCAAGAAAAAAAAAACTAATCAACATGGAAACACTGATTCACTAGTTAATTCCTTCGAGTGTAGTTAAAGGCAGGCTCATGGTGGGCTCTGGATACATAGTACTGGACAAGACAGATGCAGTCCAGCCTTTGTAGTCTGTGACCTAATTCTGTTATGACTCTTTGACTCATTAGATCCAAACTCTGCTCTCTGCTCTTCTAACTCAGTATCTAACTATTCACAATCTAACAACCAGGTCACCTCCCAGA